CATGTGGTCAAATAGGTTACAGATACTGGAGGTGCTAGAGCAATTTCGACCACAACTCCTCTCGGTTTCAGTTCTCGTTAACTCGTCATTGGTGAATATGCCCAAAGACAAGTTTAGAAAGCTACCCAAGATAAAAAAGGCGCAATTACTGAAATTGAATGTGCCTATGAAAATTTCAGAAAATATTTCGCGATCATTTTTCACGTTGCCTACATGTACATTTTCTCGTCGAAAGAAAAGTGGATATAAGTCTAACAACAATACCACACTTATAAAGATTCTCATCAGACATCTGGACCAGTTTTAGTCCAAAATAAATCAGTTTGTTTCAACTCTCTATCTCTATCTCTATCTCCCTGTCATTCTTTCTCTGTCTCTGTCTATCTCTTACTCTCTCTGTCTGAAATTTTATTTTTCCTTGAGGTATCTTTATTAAAACATTTTCTTCGATTGATTTCGAATAAAATCTTATGAGATCTCCCTTTTTGTAAAATAAGCAAAACTAAAATGACATAGAAAGTGTCTCGTCAGGTTGATGTCAGGTGGGAGAAAAACAAACAATACCGTTAGAAAAATTCCCCATATAAATATTAAAGGAAAAATATGAGCGCCTCTTCCTACCTAATTGCTTTTTACCCCCTTAAACTTTTAAAAATACATTTTTTTACCCTACTCGTGTGGCGTGAGTAACGTAACCGGATGTACCTATGCAGCAGGTGTAACGGAAATGGATGTTGCACACGGGACAATCCTCGCGGACTTTTCCAGCCTTGCTGCTAAATCTGAAAACATGAGTCACATTCTTTTCTTAAAGAGAGCTCAAATTTTTCTCTGGATCCCAATTCAGGCAGTTTAGGATATCGATTGTTGTTAGAAAAATCGTCGGCTAAGTTCTGGTAAATGAAAGGTAAGATTCGAAATTTTGTCTAAATTCCCTTTTCCGGTATTTTCTCTAAGAAGGATTCCATTTTGAGTTAGTTATTAAAATATAGAATTTGAGTGATATCATTCAGTAGAAATGATTTTTTCAAATATTCGAGCAGGGGTTAGTTTTTAAAAACTCCGATTATTATTATTAATTTTAGTTTTAATTTCGTTTAATACTATTCCTTGTATAACTATGCGGCCCAGTTGAACAAGAAAGAAAGTTTCGCCATTGTATATTTGTATTTTATTAACGGTTCCTATGTTTTCTTTCCTAGTGATAACTGCAGTAAGTTTTACCGTTGGCTGTATCTTTGCAGTAGCGACATGTTTACCATTTAAGCGTCCTTCCCAGTCATGGCCATGCCAAAAGGACGCCGAAGTTCTGCTCTCAAACGCTTCATTTCTCTCTCAGTTTCTAGCGAATAAAATCACTGTCCTCAGCAGCACGATTGTAAGTTTTGCCTACAATGTTCAATTATATCTTTTTATAACTTTTATGATGTCTGGATTTTCAATTGAAACATACTGATATTTACTTTAACATTCACAAAGCAACGGTGATCTGTTTCTCAGTTTTTGTACGTGTTTTGTACGTGTTGTTCTAATTATGCTGAATTGCCTTAAAGGAAAGAAAATGGCCGACAGACCCTTACAAGGAATCCAATGTAGACTTCATCGTACATCTCGGAAGGTTCAATAAAACAGCACATACGGTAAACACTTATGTAGCAGTTTCTCATTTACTTTTTTTGTCCTTCAGAATTGCTTTGTAGGTCAGTGAACGCCACTGTCATGCGTGAAGATATCTTTTGATATAATGGTTACGATAATTTATTGTAGGCGACTTTGCTAATGAACTTAATTAACTGAATAACTTAAGAATGTCACAGTGAGGCATCCTCAAAAGGTATGGATCTAATTGTGCCGTTTTTTTTTTAATTTTTAATGATTTTTTCTCATTTTTCAGCCTAAGGAAATTCTCAGAGCAAACTTTCGCATATTGAAAACATTTGTGGCAGCAATGAAATATTTGATGAAACAACTGAAACGCCTCCAAGGGGCCGAAGGACTGGTTACCAACGAACTTAGATCTATGAAAAATCACACCAAGGCACTCATAAATCATCTGCAAAAAATCGTTAAAATCATTGTAAGTGTTTTTTTGTATTTCCGCGGAATGCTCCATCATACATACATCTTCTTTCTCAAACTAAAGGGTAGCTACATTTCGACTGGTATTCTAAACTTGTTTTATTGTAATTAAATCAGCAGCAACGACGAGGGAACAAAAATACACCACAAGGTACCCAACGGGGGAATGGCACTGTCAACAAACCATGGAATCGTCCTCCAGCAACACAAACTTCTCAAGATGTACTGCTACACATCAAACTTATGTTGGACGAATTTTATGGACAAGTAGAAACACTTATCACTGATTTAAAGGAAATTAAAGGAATAACTTGTAATTAAGATCTGCTGGAAAAACCAAAGCCGAGTAGGACGAAAAGTAAAAGAAATAATTGTAACGTCAACTAGGTACTTCCTATGGAAGATAACGATGTATACCGTTTTATTATATTAATATGTCAAAAAGTAAATCGGAGAGATGATGATGTAATTAAATCCCACGTAAATAAAAATCAGTCAGTGTTATTTCATTTTAGTGAAAAAACAAGGTGTAATTTTAATGAATTAAAGTTATCTGAGACAAAGAAAAGAAGATTAGATTTGTTGTCTCCTTCTCATCTCCCCTTATCCTGAATCAATACACACATGGAATTGGCTTTGATCATTGGTTGGGTAAAAATCAAAACTTTCGAAGACGTTCCAGAGATTACCATTCATGATCCGAGGAGAACTTTTCCTGCCTTAAAAATCGTTGCCATTTGTAGAGTGTTTCTGAGCGATAAGCAATCTCTATCGTCGTAAATTTGTAATACAGTGCATATTGACAACTTTTTGCGTCACTGTCACTTCTCCCATCAAAGGCAATCTTAACCCAAGCATTATAATAACTTTGACCATCTTTTCTTAGAAATAGTTAACGACCATATTCATTTTGCAGGCGAAATCACAATTATAGACTTGTTATCCTTTTCACGTCGGTCACGGCAAGTGCTTGAAGAAAACACCCGCGTAACAAGGAATTCCACAAAACAACTAAGCCATCTGCAACTTGGTGGGAAACCGGTAATAAGGAAGGCAATGAATCGTATAAACCGTGTGGCAAGCGCAGTGGCACAGCAACATTTGCCAAGGATTTTGAACGAAATGAAGAAAAAAAGTAAAAAAAAACTCAAAATGGAGGAATATGTGCGAGATCATTATTCGTCTTCTAATAAGCAATTGAGGGAATTTGTTTATAGCAAAGAAGGGTGATTTTGCTGATGCTTTTTCGAGAAATTGTTCTATTGCCGTAGTCATGGGCTCTGGAAAATAGTTTTTTCGCTCGCCACTGAGAAATCGCAAAATTTTGCTCAACCCGTTCGTTTGAGGTGTGCACCTTGTGCTTTAATTTACAGAATGTCCATTTACAATATTTGATATCTTCAATGTTCAAATGTCCAAAGTATAGGCTCGAGATTTCTATGCATATGGCGTGATAGTTGATGTGGGTGACGCCGAAATCAACTACCACACAAATAAATCTAGAGCGAACAACGTAGTTACAGCAGAAATCTACTAGTCGTTCAAATTTGCAAAAACAGGCTTTTATTTTCATTTCATGTTGTTTTCACTCGTACACTGCTACGTCACTCACTTTTCTCACTATCTGTCACGGATTGTTTAGTGAGCTATACACCTATTTTGATTGGCTGTTGCGTATGATCTGTTACCATTGACCAAACTTTGAGACAAACAGATTACATATTGGTGCGTCAGATGGGTAAAAGATCGTAGACTTCATAATGTGGCGAGATATTTTTTTTGTTCCTGTGACATCTATCGTCATCTGTATTACTTTATCCGTGATCTATGACTGAACAGACAAACGACAACATGGAATCTATTTTTATAAGTAGATAGCGAGTAGCTTTGTTAATATAGAATTAATGTAGAATTAATGATAGAATAGAATTATTAGAATTAATAGAATTAATGAATTAATGATAGAACGCTAATAGATTCATGCTAAACAAGATCCCTAAAGACGATTCCGTCGGATGCGTTGTCTACTGAGCCTAACATTGAGAGAACTTGTGCAGTTACAGTAAATTATGATAATTAGACAGTTAGATCAGCTGAAGAAATTACTGTAAAAAATCTTAGTGTTGAGGTAGCCATGACTGTGTTTGTACTTGAAAATAGCGAGGAGTGGAAGCTTAAAAACCTTTGGATTTTTCTGAAACAACCTGGAACTCAACCTATTGATCTCCTCGTGTTTCTCATCGCTTGTTTCATTCTTCCAAAGAGCAACAGCTCGGTAAAATTAATTTCCATTTCCGCCGTCAATAACTTCTCTCCTTTGAAAACGTATATTTTCAGCCTACGTTATTTGTCTATCAAAAACTGTAACAAGTGCGAAAACAGACTGTCCAAACTTAAATACAACTAATACAGGGCCGTAGCTAGACTCAAAACAAAACAAGACGAAGCAAGTTTCGAGCGCCGAAGGCGCGAGCCGCCAGATGGGCCTGGCTGCATGCTCCCCCAGAAAATTGTGTAATCTAGAGGCTCAGCAATGATCCTTTAAGCATTTCCAGTGGCATTTTTCTTCAGAAAAGTCAACCTTGGGCCAAAATCAATTGCCTCGTCTTGCCTCATGCTAGCTACGGCCCTGTAATAAGACTGTACTGAGTTATTTCCTAGCGATTTTAGTTAACTTTGTAATATCGTAGAAAAGGTTGTGGTTATTCATCGTGGTGAATAACTATAAGAGCTAAGTTTTTTCGTTTGTCTCACGATGTAGTCACGTGTGATGTAGATCACTACGTTTCGACTGCATACTGCTTGTCTTCTTCAGGCGATGAGGTTGACTGGTCATGCGTGATCTTATAAAGCATGATGCTCTGCTGTGATTAGTTTTTTTCAACAGCTCTGATTGGTGCATTTCGATCCTTGCTGTTCACTCAGTGATTTGCGCCCTCAGCGGTCCGCTGTCGCACGGCTCTCCTGTTGTTGTGTTTTTTGATCGTGGGCATCCACGCTTCTGGAATTTCTATTCCACTATCCCTGTTGATGCTGTTAGGGTGAAGTCTTATGTGAATTGCCTCTTTGACTCTGCGCGTGTAGTAATAAGGGTCACGATCAATAAACTTTACTTCGTTCCAGAGTAGCTTGTGTCCAGTGTTGTGTGCATGCTTTGAAACGGCGGAGGTCTTGATACGGGCGAGTCGAATGTCTCTATCGTGCTCCTTAATTCTGTCTTGCATAGGTCTTCCAGTCTTTCCGACGTATACCTTGCCACATTCGCAGGGAATCCTGCCATCTTGTTTAGCCGGGTCGACAGCGTCTTTTGCTCGTACTAACTGAGATCTTAGCGTAGTCTCCGACTTGAAAACAGCGCGTACGCCCTGTTGCTATAGGCAACGGCGAAGCTGTTCGGACAGGCCTTTGACATAAGGTAACACTCCAGTAGCTTTGAACTCGTCGGCGGGTTCGGCACTGTTGTTTGGTTTTCCGGTCTTGGTAAGTTTCTGCAAGAAAGAAAAAGGATAACCATCAGAAACCAGAACAGATGACTGATGTTTTTTCTCCTCGATGATGACGGGGGGTTTTGTTACGAGACGTTTGGCTTGCTTGTAAAGGCACTTAGCAATACCGCGTTTTACTGATTGAGGGTGATATGAATCGTACGCTAAGTATTGATCGGTGTGCGTGGGCTTCCTGAATACGCTGGTGGTGAGGCGGCCGTCAGGTTGTCTTAAAACTGCGGTGTCTAGGAAGGCAAGTTTGTTGTCTTTCTCTGTCTCCATGGTGAAGCGGATGGAAGGCTGCTGGTTGTTTAAATGCTGTAAGAAGTCATCTACGTTTTCGCGATCCGGGATGGTCCAGGTATCGTCCACGTAGCGTTTCTAGATCCTAGGCTCGTAGGATGATGTAGTTATCGTCTGTTCTTCGAAACTCTCCATGTAGAGGTTGGCAATAACAGCGGAAACTGGACTCCCCATGGCGGCGCCGTCTTTTTGCTCGTAAATCGATCCATTATACAGGAAGTATGTGGATCTCCATACGAAGGTCAAAAGGTCAGCGATCTGTGCTGGCGTTAGCATGGTGCGGTCTGCAAGGCTTGGGTCGTTCTCGAGTTTCTGCAGTGCGGCTTGTACAGCGGCGTCGATAGGAACGTTGGTAAACAGCGATTCTACGTCGAAAGATACCAAAATAATTCGATATTATTTCGCGATGTCAATTTCACAATAGACCTTATGCAAGGTGAGAGGTTAATAGGTAGATTTTATAGGAAAATCAGTTGCCTGACTAGGTAATTCCGCGTTAAATTGCACATTAAAACCGATATCGCACGAATCGCGATATCGGTTTTCAAGTACAATTTAACGCGAAATTCACGAGTAAGGTAATGGAGTTTCCTTGAATCGCATAATTGAATAAAAATAAGAAGATAGAAAAACACGTTTTTATCCTGAGCGCGCGCCCCAGAGGGCCATTTCAAACTGTCAGCACTGTCATTGCGTTAGCGGACAGAAAGCAGCATCAGTCGTGGACGTTTGAATCTTCGACAGCTTTATTTGTACCTTGTGTTATTTTTCACATTTGTTTTCAAGCTTTTTAAACAAGCTTTACACTATCTTAAGGATAATAAGGGTATTTCGCTGAATTTACGAGCCGTTTATCTTTGACATCTTTTTTCAAATTTCCAAATTATTTGCTCGAGAAGGAAAATAATTTATACCTTTTACCTCTTTGACTGCAAAACTGAAAGAAATGATGTGTCCAAGCGAAAGCACTGAAAGTTTAACATCGCGATTAAAGGTATTTATTTCTTCTTCTGTATATATGGCGATCGACCCTGGCACTTCTTCCGTTGTTGCTTCTTCGTCTTGTTTGGTTGAACTTTTGCTTGCCATTTTCTCGGCCGTGTTCACAGGATTTTCTCGCTTTCTCGTTGTTGCGGGCGAAATAGGCCTTTCATGCCTCTCCAAGAATTTGTAGTTCATTTCAAAACAGGGAAGAACCTCTGGCTCACTTTGAAAAACGCTTTGGTTTGTTTTTGACTCTTCAAAAGGTGACAATGGTTTTGAAAACACTTTAAAATGACATAGTAGAAAACTTTGTTACAATTTGACGATAGTTTTTATGTTTAAGTGAATGCGAAACAATATCACTTAGCCTCGTTTTCAACTCGCAATTCCACGCTGAATACTTCGCTTCGTTGACCAATCAGAATGCGAGATTTTATTCAATTACGCGATTCTATAACATATTTAAAGGTTAATCACACAAAAAACGTACCTTTTCCTCGTATAAACATTTCCTAAATCCATCTATGATAAAATGGCGGTGAAAAAGCGATGATCTGTCACCAAAATCGCGTGCTTTTACGTCGAAACAACCAGGTGTAAACACAACGATTCGATTACTGACACCCATTTCATTTGTAATAGATTGCTAAAATCTGTATTCCAGGGGCTTCGGAGTCGAAAAGGGAGAACCATGTAATAGTATCTCGAGATAAATCAGCTAAATACAGCGCCGAGATAATTTTGCATGAGTAGTGGAGGGGGTCGGGAGGGGCTATTGGTAGTGGGAAAAACAAATTTAAAAGAAATCATGACTATCGTAAACGACAACAAAACTTTTGTTCCTAAAATTAATTAATGTCCGTACGGAGCATTTACTCTGTCCTCTCGTGCAATCTTTAGGAACTCAAGCTGGCAGTGTACCTACCGTAAAAGAGAAAATGTTAACTGATTTGAAGAGAACATAACGCAACAGTCCAAAGAATTCATCATAATTATATGCATGCAGTATGGTCCGTTTGGAATCACTTCTCCTTCGTATCTCTCGCGATTAGTTCCATTCCTATAGAGTAAATCAAACAGAAATAAATTCATCAACGTGCATACCTGGAAAGATGTTACAACTTTCCTCGTGGAAGAAGTAATGTAATCTTAACTGTCTTTACATTGGCCGTCTTTCTCCATGGTTTCGGGGCCAAAAATGTAATCCTCCCAAAATATCCTGTCAGCCTTAACATGAATACTATTGACTTTTCTGAAAGTATGTAACAAAAAATGTTAGTTGACTTGACAGTTTAATAGACATTTTATTCCATGGACTTTTCATAGATTCCATAGATTTCATTCAGGCCAAGTTTTGTTGATATCGGGTTAAGGTTATTGTAGACCTTCAGGGGCCAAATTTTGCAAAAACATGTTTACAGTCATTCTCGAGCTCAAACATTTATCTGTAATTTGATGAAAAAATAATCTAAAAAGCATTAAAAGATTGCGAAATATCGAAAACCTGGTTTTAAGAATAGTTAATAGATACCTGATGATGTCATAATTATATTGATCATACAAATTACAATTTCCTCGATTTTGATTGGTTGAGAAGGTAATAGGGTATAGGGTAATTTAGTATTATCAACTGAGTAGATAACGTAAATTGACCATCGTAAAGAGTTTCAAAGCTAACGTTTCGAGCGTTAGTCCTTCTTCAGAGCGAAAGACGAAGGGCTAACGCTGAAGACGTCAGCTTTGAAACTCTTAACTGTGGCTAATTTACGTTATCAACTCAGCTGATAAAACTAAGATACGAAAGGTACTAATACTGTAAAGTTTCGATTTAGCGAACCTCTATATAACGAAGTCCTCCGTATGACGAACGATACTCTTTAGCACGGCCAAAGTTACGTTAAACTGCGTGGGACAAAACTTCGATATAACGAAATTCTCGTTATAACGAACACAATCCAGAAGCTCAAACGTATAATATACCTCGATATAACGAAGAAATGTCAACATGTGACAATTAAAAAAAAGACTGTTAAAAAACTAAATTAGTGAGCAGCACTCTGCGAACAGTAGTTGAAAACTTCTTTATTCTCCGACACGTTTCGTCTAACTGTCGTCGACTTCTTCAAGGAGTTTTACAAATTAACACTAAACTAAAACCGTAGTCCTCGAATATTTTGCAAACCTAGCCTAGAAAATTTTTAAGAGAGGATATCAGCATCCATCGAACAAATTTGAGATATTGTGGCAAGTCGCCCAAAAGTCGTTTTCTCTCCTACTTTCGTAGCCCAATATGTCCTAATAATTGTGGTGAGTTTTCTTGGGAAAATATGTTTTAGTTTTCAAGAAATGATTTTTTTCGTTTGACCGCTCAAATATGCAAATTTTCACCCTGAATATTACCCGATATTTCTGTCGGCATAATCCTTTGTTTTATCATCTAAGCTTGATCCCCTGTCATTATTGCAGCTGGCAAAGAAATATTTATTTTTTGGTGATTATTTTTGTCCGACATACTTTTTCTATGTCAAAAAAAAGCATCAAAACAAAGACAGTTTTAACAATGACCGATATGACAGAATCTACTAAGCTTCTAGTTTTCAAAAGACAAAAGGATGGTTATAAAGTTATTGTAAAAATTTCCTTGTGGATGCGTGTTATTCTATTTTGAGACGAACTCAAAGTCCGGCAAAATGTACTTGTTAGCGACTATGAAATATGCATGATGTGATTACTTGTCGCCACCGTTTACGGGCATAACTCACTACAATTTGTTAAAAGTCTAACATAATACTCTCACCTCGTTTAGTTAGATTTTACTAGCTGTTTCGATGATCAAGTTATGCTCTACCACATTTTAGCCAGATTTAATTTGCAGTTCATAAATCTTCTCCACGGTATTATATTAGTTGCATGACAATGCAACAGATAATTGCATGACAGATAAATTCAAAGATGAATCAACCTCCGAATTACCAAGCGATAGTTCTTTTTTCCCTCTTCGCATATCTATAAAAACCTTCCAAGAATTGCTGTATTCAGAAAACTAAAATGTCCAGATTCATCAATGATTCCTTTGCCGGCGGTAGTCAAAGAATGTTTACAAAAATCAATTCGATTGACAAGCTACATACTGATTTAGCCAACTGATCTGTTGTATAAGCGTCTCCTTTAACATGCTAACAAGGAGATTTGCTATTCATTTAAATCGTTCGCTGGTGGAACGTTGGGTATAGTTATCGAGAAGACCGACGTTGCATATCTCAGGTTGTTCCCTCGCTTCGTTGTAAAAAAGACATTTCAAGTTACTTGCGGAGATCCAGAAACTGAAGTTGATCTTATTTTGTCGCGAGCCGGCATCTTCGAGACGCCAAACGATACCGATGATTTTACAATTTGCCCCACTCATAGATCAAATCTCGGTACCTGTGTTGGGTGGATTCGTGGTACCATTAGTAGATGTATAGTGCCTAAAGAAGTGTACAGCCATGGTAAAGGTAGGGTTAAGTCGATTCCAAAAGCCCATTGGGGAATTGGCAAGCGTGTACCACAGATAGTGCGCAAGACGTCTGGAAAATCCCTATAATCTGGCCACTTACCACCTTGCGCAAAACTACGCGTCCTGTCAGACTTAGGCCTCGACTGGGAATTGGTCAATAGGCTACCAAAAATCCAAACAGAGGCGGAGTTTTCTAAACTAACGTCTGAGCACCTTGTGAGCTCCCCGCCATCTGGCTGAACGCGTAATTAAGCACACAGTGGTAAAGGGCCCTTCCGCACTAGCTACAAGACGCTAACAAATCTTTTTTCTCTTCACCGGAAATCACATCAAAATTTGTCCTTGCCAAATTTCAAGTGTGCTGCACGTATCAGCACCCCCGGGGAACCCCTATACATGAGAGGGCGAGGATGCGCGCCGGGAATTTCGAAAACGACCCCTATAAAATTATAAAAGGTACCTGCGTCTTATCCGTGTGGGAGTGGTAACAACTGATGTCTACCCCTATAAAGTACCAATTTCAACACAAAAAATTGAAAAATACCAAAACAAGAACTCCTTTATGGATGTGCTCTAGAGGCTCAAGTCAGATCATTAAAATCGTCCTAGTAATGCTTATTTCAGGAATTTTATTGAGCGAAAAACACCCTAAAAGGTAAGAGCTAGGTCTCTAGAAGTCCACTTAAGTTTGAGACACCGTAAAAAGTACCCTATCACTGATTTTGACCCCTGAAAGGTACGATAAGCATCCTCACCCATTTTTGATCGCCTCCTCCCCCCGCCCACCCTGTCAGCACCTAAAATCAAAAGATGTGATTTGCCAACTACGAGCTGTCAATCTCACCTTGTAAAATTCACGAGAACTGGTTATTTACTTATAGAAACTTTTAGGCACTAATCTTTCAGATTTTTATGCTGACAAAATCTGTCTTGCTTCGAGGCTGTACCTTTTTTTGCTTTGCTCGTCGTGACATAATTTGGTAGGGATTAAAATAACTGTACGTCTGCATTTGTTAAACAGACTACTCAAGTGCATCCAGCACTCGATGTGTACACTTCTAGTGCATTAATTATTCTTTTGTAACATAGCCAAACATCTTGCGATGTCTACTGTTCAAGCCTTTTTTTCTTTTCAAGGAGGCATCAGAACCATTTTTATGTCAAATGTGCAGTAAACTGCTCGCGTGTCATCCTTTGTTTTCGAGGTGTCCGATCAGGTATGACTGAAAAAGGCACCTCGCTTTGATAGGAATCCTTTAGTTCTTGCTTCTTACTTCCTGAAATTATCACTTGAAATTCGCTCGGTAATATAAAAAAAAAAAACAACAACAACAACAACGCGAGTAATACATATTTATCCAAATTCTTTCATCACATAAAAAGTTGTAGGACCTGATAGCATCTTAGGGACGCACCATTAGATTTTTGATGGGGGGGGAGGTGGTGTTGGGGTGTTGGGGTGTTGGGGTGTTGGGGTGTTGGGGTGTTGGGGTGTTGGGGTGTTGGGGTGTTGGGGTGTGGGGGTGTTGGGGTGTTGGGGTGTTGGGGTGTTGGGGTGTTGGGGTGTTGGGGTGTTGGGGTGTTGGGGTGTTGGGCAATAATCCCCGAA